GTGTTCACAACGTGTTTGTAATGCGCATGGCGTGTGTTCAACGCGAACGGTGAGTCACTCTCCATAATTTGTCCTCGACGTTGTTGTTCCGCGCGATCGGCCATGCCAACCTCCCAGTAGTGTTCCGGAGTTGGCGGTTGCATTTCAAGTGCTCGATGACGACTCACCTTAAATGAAGTTCAATTTGAATCAATAGTTTAATGAAATATAAAAATAGATGAATTGATTTTGGAAAACAGAAAAATGATTTGTTAGAATTCAAACAATTTCTCCACGGAAATCTAGGCAGCTGGCTGTTTGATAATATAACAATCCCCGTGAAATGCTAAAAAAAATTCATTTGTGAGCTAAGAATGCAGTATTTGAGCTAAGTCAAAGCTGCTGTCGATTTCAACTAAACCTAAGCCAGAACTGATCCAGCGAAAACTGGTTTCGTGAAATGAAGTGATCAAACAGATAGATACCTGATCAATTCGATTCACTCTTTGCTGAGTATTCAGTCCAAGACCGTTGTAGTATGACGCACAGCATTTGCAGTCATAGCCATGCAGTAGTTTACGATCTTCCTTATTCCGTACCACAGCACCGACCTTCAAATGTTTCGTATCGAGCACTTTCAACTCGTCGTAACCATTCAGGAACTTCGGTGATGCGATGATTTTGACTGCTTCACGTGAATGTTGTGTTGAGTTGGCATTAACTGGCTGATGGCTTTCGTTCAGATTGCCGAATAGTGGATGAAATTCTTTGGTCTCAAGATTTCCAAATATGTCTCTTGATTCTGTAGAATCGTTGCTTCCCATATGAGAACGTGAATTCGACGCAGCCGTTGAGACAGCAGGCGGTGGGGTTTCTGGGAAATATGAGAGCATTTCGGAGGATTTCAGATTCACAGGACTGAGAACAGAACGAGGAGTTTTTGAGAGTGGCGGTGAGNGGTGGATAAAGGGTCGTGTTTTAGAGGAGTCGATGTTCGAATTTGCATCAGCTCACTGAGCGTTCTTTTAGGGGAATTGTCTGAGTGCAACAAATTCCGAAGGCGAGAAAGCTGCGAACAAGCTGATAGTTGAAATGGTAAGGTAGTGCCACCGCATTCCGCCGTTCGATCATGAATCGGCGAAATTGCCGATGGGACGGCTGGCACCAAACCCATCTCGACTGCTTCATCCATACCGATCAGACGCGTTTTTTTGCTACTCACCGCCAACCTCGAGCCGATCGAACACCCAACACCATTTTTCTTTGAAGGAGTTTTCCGACGACGTCTTACCCAGTTATCGAGAGCTGCACGAGGAGATATTTTGAGCCGGTTCTCTGGGGTAGATATGGTTGTTTTTTGGGTTGACTGTAGAGAACGTGATGACCTGACATGAATTCGTTTCCAAGGACTTGAAAAACCAACTCCTCCTTTATTGCTTTTGTGAGGGAATGATTTTTGAGGAGTTGCAGAATTATTATTAGTTGACAAACTTCGATAGCACATAATCTGCGATTCTGTCGGTGAACACGGGATGACCTCATCGGTTTGGAATTGAGCGGATAATAATTTGGGTGGTGAAATGGTTTCGTTAAGAATCTCTGATGAGGTATCGTGGCTAGTTGTTGGAGTGAAATTTCGGCGATTAGAGACGGCAGTACCAGAATGAGGAGGAGGGGTGATAAGGACACTTGGCAGATGGGTTCGGCTTGAAGATGACCGCCGCTTAGGGCTATCAAGAATACGATCCAAGTAGACGGTTTCGTCGAGGATTGAATCCTCATCACTGTTCAAAAGTGATGAGCCATTTGTGAAAATTTTTGGCGAGTAGATTTCGTTGACAGATAACGGAGATTGGCTCTCGGTGGAAACATACTTCGAATTTAGCGCAACAGTTTCATCGAGGGAATTAATCGAGGAATCGAGGGAACAGCTTGATGAATTAGGCGAAAAATGATTTGGAGAATTGTCTGTGGCTTCAATTGGCCAAAGTGATTGTTGTCGTCGAGCATCTGAATTTCTTTTGTTGCTGGAGTGTTGTTGTTGGCTCGAATACTTCAAATTGGAATCATGAGAACACTGAGGTTTCATTGAGATCATCCATTCAAACGAGGTCACCTGCAATTCATAAAAGCTGATCATATTTTACACTGAATTCTGAAAGTGATCATTGAAAGTGACCTCACGATTCTTTCCAACTGTTTTTCACGATAAATCTTGTGGTTAACTCCATAATAATAGAATTTCAAGCGACTAGCAAGTTCCAACTTAACTATTCATTACTAAAATTAAATTAAAAACTAAGAAATAAATATTAAAGAAGCATCATTGATGACAACAGAAACGATGACTTATTTTATTTATGTAAACCTGTCCTTTTGTATGTTTTTCAAGAAAAATATTACGTGAAAAACGATGGATTTATATGAATAAATTAAAAAATTAAAAAATCTTCAGATTTACATAAATTACTAATTTTGCTAAATTGCCAAATGCATTTATAGCTAGTCACAGGATGACAGGAATCGTGCTGAGACCATTAATTTTGACACCAAATATTGTGCTGTAAATCCGTACAAAAATGTTGCAGCCCAATATTTTTAAAATTTTTCTGCATCTCGAAACGATCTCGGTCTTTCTGTGTTCGCAATGTGCTATGTAACGGACCAACCCCTCCTGTGACGTTCCAGACGTGTTTTTTTTTCACTTTTTGAGCCGTTTTGATATGAATTTTTGAGGTGATTTTGTATATTCTGTTCGTAAAATGAAAACTGCCCTTCTTCCAAGTAAATTTCAATAGTCAGTGAGGTGCGTAAGGAAAATGCCAGCTATCTGTGTGGCTGTACAGATGGAGGAAAACCGAAAAAAAATTGTAACTGAAAAATCAAAACTCACTGAAACACTGCACATTTGGAAAAGTTGTTTATTCATGCTGATAATGATGAGAAGAAATTTTTCACAGCAATAAAGTTTCACAATAAAATGTGCACATCTATCAAAGCCATACACGAGGGAACAATGGTAATGAAATTAATTGATTACATTGGCAGTATTGGATGATAGTTCAGAATGCTAATCATATAGCATAAAGTGGACAGATGAAGAGGATAATGAGCAATCAGTCATAAGCACAGTACACGGCATTTTTCAACGGACG